AACCTATATACAAATCCACACATTTGGTGCTGTGCAAAGTGCTTTCACTTTTTTTTTTTGTTTCTATAAGTTGGAAGATAAATTACAAGCATTTTGTTAATTTTTACATTTTTTCTGTCCTATATCTAATGTTCAACCTAAAATAAGTTGTTAGTTAAGCTAAAAAGTAAAATGTCAAAATTATTCCATTTTTTTAGGAGCTTTGTGGTTGCATCAATATCTTTTTGTTAGTAAATAGGGAAATCACAGAAGAATTATAATGGTAGCAGCTTTCATAAATATTCAATCTTAAGATATGTTTTGTTCATAGACTAGAATTTAATAGTTTAAGTGCTTGAGCTTTAATTAGAGTTTAAATATAACTGTACTAATGTTCTTTGCTTGAACTTCATTTTAATATTTGCAAATGGTTTGTCTTCAGTTCCTTACTAATTAATATTATGAACCAATTAAAACTGCCTAAAGATGTATAACTAAACAAATGAATAGTTTAGAACAAGCATTTTCCACACCTGATAAAAATATATAATGTTTTTGGAATTAGAGTAATTGTTTTTCGTTTTCAAACTTCTTAGCAGTTCAGATTGAATTTCTTTTGGATTAAATGAGTTACAAACTTAAGATCTTCTGGCATCTAGATTATACTTAAAAATCATAAAGTTAAATACTTGTACAAAACCTGAGCTAATATGATAATAAAACACTATACTCACAAAATAACAAGAGCAAATTACTTTCATGAAGACACAAGCTACCATCAACAAAAGAATGATAATGCCTTATTTTATAATAACCTACCATATTTCTTTGCACTACTAGGCTTTGAAATTTGTCCAGGTCCATCAAATACATTTGATTTCATTCTATCCACAACTTTTCTAGGTGTTGTATCTGTTACATCACTCCCAAACATACTACCTTCAGATGCTCCACCTTGGGTTGTATAAACATTAGTGGAAGCATCACCAGCTTCAAAGATGCTGGAATGCATGTAGTTCTTGACTCGACGGGGTTTATGGTCTTCATTATCATTTCCAGTGCCAAATATATCACTACTTTGACCTCCTGGAGGTTTGGTAACCCTTGGAAGCAATATCTTAAGTTTTAAGTTACATAATAATGACACATTAAAAAGTAATGGACAAATTCAATGAAAGTTTTTGGTTACACAGTACTTCACATGATTCAGAGTTATGACTTCAAAAAAAAACAACTAAAGTTTCAAACCAGCACATTAAGTTTTAGTTCTCAGAGTTTCACATAAGCCAATTAAATTATACATTGATTTACATATAAAATACATGAATAGCTTAGATCATTGGTTCCCAAATGTTTATCCACACTAGGACCAGTGCACAAGTTTTTTTTGCTGACCCTCAGAAACAGTGTGTAAAAAAAAGAAAATTTGGTGAAAACATATTATAGTTTAATGAAATTTATAATTTGAACATGTGTTATAAATAAATGAAAAGTGATGTTTCCTTTTCAGTCATTGTGAAATAAGAGTAACTTCCATAAAATTATGAAATAACACTATACACTAATTATCCATACACTTTAGAGATTTTACATTTCTGTGGAGTGAAAAATACCGAGAATCACTGGCTTTAAATATATTTATAAATATATATATTTAAAGCTAGCTACTGATCCTGGAACTTGGTTTTATTAATGATTTCTCTTGTTAAAACTAATTCAACCCATTCATATTATGCATCTTTTAGGTAATTTATCAAAATGTTCATACTTTCTTGAAACATACTATTTGCACTGAAATTTTATTGTTAAAACATGTTTTTGAAACTGTAACTTACTTTTCTTAATACTTTGCAAACACAGAACAACAGAAACGAGTTTCACACATTTGCTGTATTTTCTTACGTGGAAACAAAAAATAGTTAACAATTACTTTATCAAACACTAATGCATTTTTGAAACTACAAAATTTCAAAACTTCTTTCTCCAAAGTAATTCTAAAGTTTAAAACATTGAATTCTTTATGCATTGATATATTAAATAATTTAATTTTGATAATATTGTTTTTTGGAATATTACAAACACGTGGAATATGACATCTTGAGAATTTACATTGCACTGATTTTTTTTTAATATATTATGCAACATCACAAATAACAATCCACTTTTTTTCTTAAAAATTAGTGGAGTATTTCTGTTGCTGTTGGATGAAATGCTAATTTCATCCTTCTCTAACTAGGAAACAAGAATATTTGTAAACCAGATGTACAAAGATTATAAACTTGTGCTCATCTTCTATCCCTCACAAAGGTTATATACCACAATGGTTGTTCTTGATAGGTTAAAAAAAAACATGTAGGATAAAAGATTTTGGAGTAAATCACAAAAATAACAAAACTACTGCTTCCACCAGGTAGACCTGTTTTGATCTGGGGAAAGGCAGACCAATTGTGCTTTTTTTTTTTTTATATATATTTGTTAAGGCTTACACTTGCTAAGCCATCGGAGTGATTCCTCCTGGAGTGAATCACTAATTGAGAAGTACATAATTTGTACAAGTTAGTATGAACCTTGCTAATATTTAGGTAAAAATTCCAAAATTTATTTACTCATGAATAAAGATACTGTTTATTTGTTGACTTGTCTTTGCTTTTCCTTTGCAGTTTGTGTTAAAAAATAATTTCTGCATATTGCAGCTGCTTGATAATTCTGTTACACATGAGTGTACCTGACTAACACACCATAAAACCAATTACAGTAAAAGCTTTACTACTTGGCATCTGCCAGACCTGCTCAGTATTGAATAGGTAAAAATTCTGATTAAGAAAGCATTTCTTTTACAATACTTTACAGTAAAGCTTTTGACACTTTGTTAATGTTCTAAAGTAAAGTATTTCTATATCATCTACAAGTTTTAAATGATAATAAATATTGTAAGCCAGTGGGAAGAAAGCCACAGCAACACCACTAAGCTACAACAAGCATTTCTATTTGGAGACAAATTTCTGGCTACAAGAGCGATCTAGGTATGAAGTTGCTGGATAAAGTTTTTACTGTACTAATTATATACAAAAAAAGTGACTGTTTTAATAACTGTAAAACCTTAGGTTAGTAAAATCCCATTGGATCTTGTTTCTTTGCTGAGGTTGCACCTATCTTCTGCCTTTTTTTTTTGGGAGGCAGAGTCTCAAGTGTGACTTTAATGCTTAGATTTTCTGTCTTGTGTTTTTTTTTTTAAAGAAAAAAAAACTATTAGAAGCATAAGAACAATGATTTGATATAGTCAGCACTTTCAACCAATTTTCAATTAATATATTAGAGTCAGATATAAAACTAAGTTAAACTACACAACACTGACTTAGGTCATCATGTCCATTGACATGCAACACAATGCTTCCCAAATCCAGTGATTGTGTCAGTGTCAAAGCATACACTAAGCATAGTACTACCCCCAAATTGTTGCACTGCTGAAAGTTTAATGTAATTATCATATTTACAGTATTTATTCTTCACATAAGTTAGTTCAAGTTGATTTGTAATGGAATGATAGTAACTCGTACCTCTGATAATCATGACTGTTGCAATGAACCATTTATGTGAACACAGCCAGTAGAAGTAGTCCTATTCAAACCTGTAATTTTTCCCTCAAAGATGAATTAAAATAGTTTTGTTCAAAATAAAATAAACTTGCATACAGTATTAAGTTAAGTAAGCATAGTTTTTAAATGAATAATTTAACAAAATTTATTTTGGCAATTATTTGTTATTTCAAACTTGCCATATCCATTATTCTTTTCTAAAATACTATACACAAATTATTCCAATAGTGTACCAGAAATGTTCAGAAAATCATAGTAAGAAATTTTTCTATAGCTTTTTTCAAATATAGCTATATAAAATTTCTTCTGGAGACCATCACCGGAAATCGTTTAGGAATGAAGAAATTTATATGGGCTTGAGCAGCACTTAGTGTTAAAAAATAAATAAATCTGATTTGGCGAATATAATGAAGTGGTGATGGTTGAGGAGGAAGAGAAGAGTTTGCATGTTGTATTACGTGATTAAGATGGTTTTCTGCAGTCCATAAATAACGAGCATTTTTAGAACCGTAGATTAACAAAACATGGTTGCATCCTATCGTATTATGGAGATTGTAAATAGTCATCCCCAAGCAACTTAGTTGTAACGTGAGAGGCACCTTCTCCATACTCAACTCCTCCCACGCCTGCAGTGCTCACTTTCCCAAGATGTGCTAAATACAATAAAATCAAAAAACCCTGGGCCCGCTACTGCCGCATCACTGCATTTGGGCAGATGGGTTTTCAAAACATCTTGAAAAATTGAATTATAACAACAAAATTTTGTATAAATTTGGGTACACTTCTTTAAATTTGGGGTGAAAAGTATGTGGAAAAATTTATTTATTTGTTTATTTTAACTGTTATATGATGTACGCCATTTGGGGGTACAATTGTAAAACTATCGGCATCTTTGATATTGTTTTTTGTTTGTTTTTAATTTCTCGCAAAGCTACACAGGGCTATCTGCGCTAGCCGTCCCTAATTTAGTAGCGTAAGACTAGAGAGAAGGCAGCTAGTCATCACCAACTACCGCCAACTTTTTTACCAATGAATGTGCCCGTCACATTATAATGCCCCCATGGCTGAAAGGGCGAGCATGTTTCGTGTGATGGGGATTCGAACCCGCGACCCTCAGATTGCGAGTCGAGCGCCCTAACCACCTGGCCATGCCAGGCCTTTGATATTGTACAACAGCAGTGAATATTGTAGTCTCCAAGCCGAGTTTAATACACAGTTTTTCACAATCGCATGTATAAATTAGTGGAAATTAATCGTTCAGTTTTTATATAAGATATACGTTTTTCACTCACCTGTTGTTTTTCTTCGACCAAAATATTACGATTCCAAAAAAAAATTCCGATTATGAATAACTCACCGGATGCCGAAAAATAAAGTAAATTCAATCGAAAGTATTTTTGAATGTAATTTTCATGAGTTTTTCTTCTTCTTTACGATATATACAAACACATACACACTAACATGAGCGGTTCGCTAACGTTTCGAACACGCTGTACTGCTT